TGTAAAGATCTTGAGGAATGAGGGAGTGGCAGCGTGAGTATACCTCCAGACTGTTTAAGGTTGACTGTCTTAAGTCTCGCTTTGTTTGTATAGTTTTCTGTTTTTGAGTAATTTATCATATTATCATTATGCTTTTAAACAGCAAGCCTTAAATTCTGTTGTCAGTACATTTGTTAACAGCAGCAAGAAACAATGTCTTAGACAAGCATATCAAATTGTGTAAATAAATCTCAAACACAGTTTAATTAAAATTCTATCTTTATAATGATTTTAAACGATATGATTCTGCAGGCTTTTTAAAATATGATTTATTTATGGATCTACATATGCACCAATACTTTATTTTTTACCTCATTGTTTCTGGATATACATGTAGCATCTCTCTCTCTTTTTGTTTCTCTTTGTAGTTTCTATAAAGGAACAGTTCCTCGGCTGGGCCGGGTGTGTCTAGACGTGGCCATAGTCTTCATCATCTATGAGGAGGTGGTGAAGGTCCTGAACACGGTCTGGAAGACGGACTGAGCTACTGGGGCAGGGGGCTGCAGAGAAACAAGGAAGCCTGAACAAAAGGCTCAGTGTCGCCCACGTCTGGTTGGCTGGAGTTAATGCAGAGCTGTGCTGCACAGCAACACGCCACAAGTCAAGACCAAGAAGTTAACACAATCTTTATCACACAAGACAAGTGTTTACTTCTCAAAGTGGGATTATAAAGTGAGCCAAATAATTGAGGAAACAGATCCTTTATCCTAGAAATACATAATCCGATTCTATAGATGTAAAGCAAAACCTTAAAACTAAGCTAAACACGATGTTTGATGACTGCTTAAGCAACATTACTGCAGGAATTTCTGCCTTTTTGAAGTTATTTGGTTCACTTTCTTCATAAGCCTTATTTCCAATCATAAAAGCTGTTTTTTTTATGATGTTTACGGCAAGGTTGTAGATGTCATACTGGGTTTTCATGTTTTTTTGTTGCTCTCTGTCTCTTCTTGTGCCTCATGTGGTTTTAAATCCAGAGGAGCCAGACTGCAGCTGTTAACAGTTTACAGTCACATAAACTGTAGTAACATCCATAACTAGGCCTTTACCAGAATGAGTTGATATTTATACAATGTCAATTATTTTTATACTATATAGATTCTTATTTAGTTATTTGCCAGCATTAAAGTTTTATTGTAAAGTATGATATATATTATATTCCTGTGCCAAATGCCAAACCTGTTGTACTATGAAAGTGTGTTCAGAGTGAAACCACAAAGATTATAGACGTTGAAAAGAGCAAATATAATGACTTAAATTATGACAAACTTTATAAATGTATTTATTGAAAGTTGAATGTTGAATATCTCGATATTTCAGAGACCTTTTGCTGTTAACTTGTGCCATTGAGTCAAGTTTTTCCTTTACCTGGGTCTGGGTGTCAAAGTATTTTAAAGAGAAAAGAGATTTTATTGCTGTATTTCACTGTGAGTCTATATGACAAACATGCAAAGTAACCTCAGAGCCCCGTTTTGTCCATTCAGAAAATGCACCATGTTTCTTCAGCTCATCTAAAAAAAAAAACAAAGCTTCCTACTCCTGGATGATTATTTTTTATTACCTTTTATTATTTGAGGTTGTTTTCAGTTTTTGTTATTCTTCCCTTCACTTCCTAAACCAACGCTTCCTAACCTCTGGGTGGGGATCAAGCGAAAGGATGACAAAAATATATATAAGGTGATGAAAGATATTCAATTGGAAGGTAAAGATGAAAATTGGCAGAGAATACACATTTATGTTTTTTCCAGGAAATCATTCACTGAATAACTTGCTGAAGAAAGATGTTTCTGTATCGATATCCACATCTTAAAACTGATGCAGATACCTAGACGTGACACTGTAACCCTCTGATGCCGTTGGAAAAAAATATATATATAAAAAAAGGAATTGCTAACATATTCTGCTGTAACTAACATTACTCTGATAAGACCAACATGTGACTGTTTACTAAAAACCTGTTGATTGTAATGGGGGGGTCTTAATGGGGACTAATACAGTATTGTTTTAGATCCATAACTGTTGAAACTTTATCTTACTTACTTACTGACTTACTCATGTACTATAGATGTAAGGCCACATTGAAAGCCAACAGGATATCAGAATAAGAACACCTCTGGGTGCAGGTAAACACTGATTGGGGGTCAACCGTCAGAAACAGTGACATCACAATCTGGTGAAATGAAATTCACATTCTGTTCTGTTCGGTGCTATCATGTTTCATTCAGGTTTGTTTTAATCTCACTCGTGCCTTTTACTTCTGTGTTTGTTGGTAAATGCTACTAGAAAGATCCTTATCTACTATCAATCTATTAAACTTTAAAATGAACTCACGGGAAATTAGGTATATGTGGTGTAGGCATATTGTGTTCATAAAAAAGATTACAAGAAGTGTTCTGCTTAAAAACAGTAATTATCTGTAATGAGTTTCAAATGGATTATTTTTTATGTAATCATGTTCTATTTTAATTTTTTGTTGGCTAAACAGATTCATGGTGTGCCACATAGGCAAAATTACGTTGTATTGTTATATTAAATCGGTGTATTCTGAGGCTGTGTGTAGGTGTGTGTGTGTGTGATGCAGTTCAGTATGATACTGCTTGTGCAATAATCATTGTCCCCTCCTTTTGTCTGTGCTAAATGTCAAAAAGTCCTTTGTGGTGGGGGAATCTAAAAATAACTAATTAAATCAAGCATCTGAAAACTTAAATGCATTCAGGCTATATGTTTTTATTTTTCATATCGGCCCTCTCTCATTGGGCTTTAGTTCTGCCTGTTCGGTCACAACAGATCACATTGGGACAAACCATGGGGGCAAGGAGGGGAGGAATCGAACAGGGAACTCATTGTTTCACTTTTGGCTGATGCTCATGTCCAGTGATTCAACAAACCATCTCTCTCGCTCTCTTTCTTACACACACACACAAACACACAAACACACACACACACACACACACACACACACACACACACACACACACACACACACAGGAACAAACTTCATATCCCCGGTGCCCCAGTGTTTGTTGTGAGAAGGAATTCACAGCTCTGTGCTGACAATTGGCGTGAGGACAACATGTAGGGGATATTTTGGCATCAATGATGAACTGGTGGAAAATCTCCTGAAATATTGAGTCTGAGGAAGTAGTCAGAATTCTTACTTGAGTGTAAATATACAATTTACACAGAGTAAACATATGTGCTTCAGTAAAAGTCAACTTTAATTGAGAAAAAAACAATATATCATCAGAATTCAGAGAATGAACGTATCTGTGTTAAAGCTGGAGGACTGTTTTGAACGTGTCTGCAAAGTAACTGGTAACTGAAGCTTGGAGGTCAATGTTTGTTTTGAAGAATGAAAAGCCAAAGTGCCTTAAAGAGTTTTCTCTCCCTTTTTCCCCAGAGTGATTTATAATTCAGAGTATAGCATGCAGCACTGATTCATATGGTTATTTAGTACCAGTGTAACAAGGGAAAGTAGTTAAGTAGTGAACTAAAAACCCCATATTATGACTAAAATATATGTCATTCCAAAAAGCCCCATCTTTAAACAGAAGGGGGAGCTGTAGCCAGAGCCTGAGACACATCAGTGAGCATACTCTACCTTTACTACTCTGGCACATGCACAGCAGTGATGAGAGAGGCCTCCTCTCTCCTCATATCTGTACAATAGAGCTTTATGAGAAGGGTCATAGAACCTACCACCCTCCCTTCATCCTACATCATCACTCCCTCCTCCTCCTCCTCCTCCTCCTGCTCTGCTTCTGGATGGAGTACTGGTCCGAAATTGCCCCAAAAATCTCTCATCATCCTCTCAGACATTATAGACACACCGCTCCGACTTTGAGGTCGTCTTTGAACCCAAGAGATGAATGATATTTCTTAGAGAAGCTCAGTAGTGGCTTTATGGTTCCAACTTATTCCCCCCACCCTCCTTATTTACCACATAAATGTTTTTTTCTACAAATAAAGTCTTTATTTTTGCACCTCTCCTTTTTCAATCTAACACAATTTTTCTCAATCATACATTTAGCAATCTCAGAACCCATCATTCAGCAGGGTGGTCATCCCTCTGTCGAGTAGCTGTTTAAGTTACTAGACAAACATTCAGCTTTCTTCAGTGAGCTTGGAGACTATTTTGAATCGATCAATACAACAAATACACGTTTACCACCTTCAATTTTAGTTTACAACATTAAGCTTTATATTTAGGAGACAATACTTTGAATCCATTACTCTCCCACTGACCTTAAATGTTGCTTTTTTTGACAGAAGGATATACATGCTTTCACAACAAATTAAAGTGAAGGCAGTTATCTTTTTCTGCCTGATGCTCTCTGACACGATATCCCCCAATGTTCAGTTTCTCAGAGAGCCTCCATTCACTCAGAAGCAGTGAAGGGGAAGTAATGTTATTGTTCTCCAGCTTTCTCTAACAAGGGTGGATCCTCTTAGCCCTATTGGATGAGTGGTGATCCATTTGTTGCTGAAGCTTGAAAAGAACCTTTCTGAGGCAGCTTTTCATGTGATCTTATTTCCAGGCTAACTTCAACTTAATCAATGAATTAATTTTGAGTCTGAGGTAGGTGCGACGCTGTCCTTGGTGCTGAATTAGATCTTTTGATTGGAGTCTTAAATGACCTACACTGAGAACAGATAGCATGTCACTTACAGCATGTGTTTCTTATTTTTGGATTTCTGAAAACCCTTTTTTGTTTCCATCCAAGTAAGTCACTAAAAAGGACTCAATGTTGGCAGTGTCTCCCAAAATACAATTCGTGTTTTTAATCCGTGAAGCAGAGGTGGTTCGATTTCCTTTGACAGAAAAACAAGACGTTTTCTACAAACATTTATCGAGAGAGAGAGAGAGAGAGAGAGAGAGAGAGAGAGAGAGAGAGAGAGAGAGAGAGAGAGAGAGACTGCACGTCTTTCTTAATAACCAACAGTAGCTCTGAGGGGCGGTGTCCAGCAGGCGGATAGAAGGGAGCTGGTGCGCACTGAGGCTCCACTTTTACGCATCAGTTGTTCGTCTAGGCATCCATGCCGAGGATACCTCCAATCTGGATTTTTTTTAATGCCGAATTATTTTATCTGTGTATTTCGACATAAGTAAGGTTTTAAGCAGGAATCCAAAGTAGAGCATACATCAGCGGAGTGAGCGGAACAAGTGGACCCAGAAAAAGTTTCCGTCATGGGAGCGCGCGGATGGAGCTCAGCGCGTCTCGGGTTCGTCGTTTGTGGATATTTTGCGTTTTTCTGCGGGGAGGTTTTCCCTCAGGCTGAAGCGGGCTGCAGGGAGAGAGAGAGCCCAAACTGCTGCACCGGCCGGAACAATGAATGTTTTGAGTACACCAGGAGGAAAACTGTATGCTACTGTGATACCTACTGTCAGAAAACCAGAGACTGTTGCGAGGACTACCAGAGTGTGTGCCAAATATCCGGTGAGTTGCATTAATTATACTGGTCAAAGACAATGTTGAAACGTTTTGGGCATCAATCTTTAAAGTAACTTTAGATTTGTTTCGGATTCTGTATGCGTCCTCCTCTGCCGTGAGGATGTTGTTGTTGTCCAGTCTGAAACTCAGTCTGAACCGGTGATGGCTGGCATTTAGGTGACATGGAGACAGTGAGACATACTACACGTAGCTGTCTCCAGTGCGCCCATTAAGGCTGTTTGTTTAAAGTGACCATCCAGGGGTGACCATTAGTACAGGCTGTTTTACCAATGGCAGGTTTTGTGTCTTTTTAAGCTTGTTGTGTTGACCCTTGGCATTGGAAGTTTCAGATCTTGGTTTAGAAGTCGTTAACGAGAGTACTATTGAGTCATCGTAAAGTCACAAATCAGCATCAGCAAGGCAGTATCTGCAACATTGATGGGTTGAAATCATGAATTGTCAACTATTCGATAATCGATTAATTGATTCAGTGATTTTTCAATCAGAAATGTCCAATGTTTAATGGGTTCAAGCTTCTTAAATGTAAGGACTTCCATTTATTTTCCCATTTATAACAGTATGTGTATAAATATACACATACTGTTATAAATGACTGAATGATAAACATAGTACTGTTTTATGTTTTAGACTGAAGAAAAAGCAGTTTGAAGATGCAAATAAAGAAACTCAGAAATTGTATTGAGCTTTTTACAAACAATCATTTGTGCAACTTTTTGACATTTCATGGGCTATTATGTGGAGATGATGTATCATGAAGGAAAATACTTTTGAGTTGCAGTTTTCTACTCAACATATAAAGATAATATGGCTGTGAATCATGAGATGAAGGGTAATTGTTCAAAGAAAATGTGAGCACTGGTTACCTCTTTGCTGCTATATATGGACAAATGAGGGACTGGACACCATGGGAACAGACTGCCGAAGATGGTCAGAGTACAGTAGAGTTGTGGAAACACTCAGGGACCTTACAGTGTGTTGAAACATCTCAAGTTCACAGAGAGTAATTATCAGTGTGTAGATACACTTAGACTGTGACCCTTGTCTAAAGTGCTCACTAACTGTCACTTCTAGAGGTCAAAGGGCACTTTAAATGCTCCTCTGTTCCCTCTATTTAGTGCACATCTAGTTGTGTCTGTGCTCTAATGAGAACTGTCTGCTCCCTTCAGACTGAAGTCAATCACTTTACAGTGTTAAACAAAAACTTAGAAGCAGTTACACATTTTATGAGACCACACTGTTAACTTTAAAGTCTCACTGCAGTGTGCTGGAAAAACAACAACATGCTAGTGTACTTATGCTGGGCAAAGTTAAATCAGCTAATTTGAAGACTCATACTCATTTGAGTTTAAATTCATTACAGTACTAAATTGTATTTAAAAAATCTGTTGTGTTTCGGTCAAGTGGTAAAGACAATCAGTATGTTGTACTTTCCTATCTCTCTATCTGCACTATCTAATAAACCACCAAACAATATACAAAAGATATATATTAACAAACAGCAGCAGAAAAGTCACACCTTAAATCTAGAACTTTTTATGCAAGAAAAAGTTTTGTTTTTGCTTTTGACTTCAGCACTACTTTCAGACTGTCTTCATTAAGATAACGTTAGATACTTTGTGCATTGAAAAAAGAATAAACAACAAGAGGTGTGGATAGTGGCATCTTAATCCTACAACAAATCTGACTTCACATAGTTGGCAATACTGTAGAATCGGTTGTCAATGTGTGTGAGGCAGGTATAAAGCCAGCTTTTAACATCAAGCAGACAGCTGAGTCGAGTCCAGGCATCACTTGATCCATCTCATAGATCTGCCAGGATGAAGCTTCACAGAAAGAAGCTCAGGGACGCTCCTCAGGTCAGTGTTGAGTCATCACTGTTGTGTTCAGCAGCAGCTGTGCCCTCAGAGGTCGGCTCACGGCTGCATGTGCATCACTTCATTCACGTGTCAGAGGATAGTTTTTTCCTCTCCCTGTGGACCTCACATGCTGCTTGGACAGGTTGATCGTGGTGTGTAACAGGAAAACAAAAGATCTGTCCTGGAAGAGTTTTATGATGCATGTGTTGGGTGAAATCTTTTGTATCTGTGAGGACTGTGTAAATGACCAACAAGTTTGCTGGATTTCATTGGACAAGATTATGATTTACTCCAAACATGAAGGATTTACAATGATTATAACCTTATTTAATTTATGTATTTTCAAAAACAAGTAACAAAGTGCCCGTTAAAGACAGCAAATTACAGGGTGCAGGTCATTAAATCATCAAGTTATAATAGATAAGGATATCAATAGAGTTTCAGCCAAAATTAGGATATAATAAATATTAAATCAGGCAAAATCTTTTTTATAATGTTAAAAATACAAGTATTAAAGGGCTTACTTATAAAGTATGTTTGAAAAAGGGACTTAAAATAATTTGACTAACTGGGTGTTAATTGTAAAATTAACTTCTAAGATGGTTTGTTATCAGTCATATTCTGACTTAAGATGAACTAGAAGATAATGTTAACTCGTCCATGTCCTCTACAAAACTGTATGGCTGATTGAACACTGAGGGATGCTGGGAAACACACCTTGACTTCCTCCATCTGCAACCTGATCATCTCTCCTGTATAAACAGCACACAGGCTGTAGTTCAGCTCAGCTCCATCAAAGCCCCCTGATGTTTTTCTCCCCCACATCACACTCTGACTTTATCTGATCCTGATCCTGCAGCTCTGCAACGCATGGCGGCGTCTGTCTGTGTACTGTCTGTCACAGTCTGTAATTTAGTCGTGTGTCAGCTGTAGCCGAGCGAAGAGCCTGAAGTGGGTGACATCAGAGGAGACACAGAGAAGGAGTCAGACTGTTTGCACCACTCACACACAAACACTCAAAGGTCTGAAGAGTGAGATAAGATTTACTGCAGAGATGTTTCTTAAACGAAGGTTTTGGCAGGGACTTGTGTAGTTTTTTAACAGTGTGGAGGAGTTTTATGTGCACTCGATATTTATGTGTCTCTGTTAGGGATTAAAATAAAACATGTTGAATCAATGGAGGAATAATTCACAGACAGTCTACTGTAAAACAACTTTAAGTCATGTATTGTGCATTCCTGGAAACAGTTCCACTTACACAATGTATCGTTTAAAAATGCAAATGTATTTTTTGCTCTAAACTAAAGATGTCCTTCCTTTTGGGGCGGCGACGGCTCAGTGGTAGAGTCGGTCATATCTCGACCGGAAGGTCAGGGGTTTGATCACCAGCTCCTGCTCCCATGTGTCCGATCTGTCCTTGGGCAAAACACTTATCCCCAAGTTACTCTTGCTGCTCCATCGGCAGCATAACCATGTGTATGAATGGGATTAGTTAATACTGATGGACACTTTAGATAACAGCCTCTGCTATCAGTGTGTAAATGGGTAAGTGTGACCTGCAGTGTAAAAGAGCTTTGAGTAATCAAAAGACTGGAAAAGGGCTAAACAAGCTCAAGTCCATTTATCATTTACCATTAATTATATATTATTAAGTATGATCATAGGCCTTTTGTCAGAGTAACATGGAAAACGTTCTGGAAACAAAAGAATTAAGCAGAAAAACCTTCAGAATGGGTTCTTAATGAACTGGATGCTAGGTATTAGTTATGGAGTTAAACAGTCATGCTAAGTTTAAGATCCATAGGTTAGTTTAAGTTGGCTCTTGAGATGGTGGATTTACAGCAAGTTAACATAATTGGTCCTTCTCCATGATTTGGTCTGGCTTTTATCTTTAGGTTATTCTGAGAAAACTTTTTTCTAGAGTGATAACTTAAAGAAAATACATTAATGAAAGTTTAGACTGAAACGTTTACAGATATCCTTTCACTTTTCACAAAAAAACAGGATGGCTTAATATATAGACACATTATAAAGGCAAGTCAGCATGATTTTTGAATTTGCGGCAATTTTGCACCCACAATGATAGTCTTTTTCAACACTATGTTACACCTGTTTGCACATACTGCAACAGGTGTAATGGAGAGGTTTGTCTTGATATAAAACACATGCATGCAGTGTACATACTTTTAATAGCAGCTGTATTATGCTTGTGAAAAAACAGAATGGGATTTGGAACACATTTAACTCAATATTTGGACATTTAAAAGGAGAAATGCATCATGGGAGAGGCAGGGAAGATGTAGCAGAATTTGATGTAGCCTCAGTTGTTGCCTTTCTAATAACAGATGTCTGACTCGATAATCTACCTGTCCCTTTTATGGAATTTTATGGGACTCTAATAATTGTGAATGAAACCGCAGAAAAGACTGATGCTAAATGAACAGGATTAGAAATCCATATGGGGAGTTGTCTCCAGTTGAAGGAGTACACATGGAAAGTTACATAATTTGTCAGATCTACTGTAACTCTGTAAGGAGGAAGAGCAGGGGCAGCTCTTCTCCTCTCCTTCTGTATAGCTGGTAGTTCTCACTACAGCAGGAGGACGTGTTGTAGCCTCTGATCCACCAGAGGTTTGCTCATCATTTATCTCTCCCTCCCCTCCTTCTGTTTCTCTTCCTTTTCCTATTGGCATGGTGCGCTGGCATGCCATCATGTTTGCTTTTTCCCAACTACGTTTACTCCCCTCCTCTTCTTCATTGCTTTTAAACATGTTCTCCCTTTAGCATCAATGAGTAATGAATGTTTTTACAATGCTGAAGCTGAAACATCCCAGCTGCTGCAGTCTGTCCTTCCAGTTTCTCCTGGTACACACGTACTGCAATAGTTAATCCTGGTTGCAAATTTGATATCCATCATCTGGACTCTTTATGGCCAGATAGCAAAAGTGTTAATAACAAAGTAACTGTTCTTTAGTTTCCTTTATGTCTACCATCAATTCAGCCTTTAAGTCTCTTCTCCTGTTGTACACAGCAAAAGTTGCATGCTATACAACATGCTAAATCCATTAACATTTTTAAATGTACCTGATCAGCATAAGCGTTGGTGTCTAAGCAAACAGCATGTTTTGTT